AATGTTGGAATCCTTGTTTTGTTATTGTTGATGAATGACAAGGATCTGATAACAGAAATAATGTGATGGAGCGACCGGCAAAGCTACAAGTCAATTTCATTGATGTATACCAATGATCTCTATTGGTGATATTGACCTCTTCATTCGTGATAAGAACTCGGAGAAGTTTCCATAATGCTATACCACAAAGAAAGAAGGTACCTTTACCAAGTTGTAGGATTTGCTTTATACGGTTCACCTTGATTGATAGGAGCTGCTCATCAGACAAATCCTTTGAGTTGGATGGATCTACAAAAAGCCAAGAGCAACTTTTAATATCGTAGTATATGGTATTCTCATTCAACCTTCTCTTTTGGTGAACCATTGAATCAAGGTGGTCTGATACGAATATTACATCTGGATCCGGTGGTCCTTCACTGAGAGAATACGGAGAGATTGGTTTTTCAGTCATCTGCAGATCTTGCAATTGATCTGCACGGCTAGCACTAGTATCTTTGGAGCTACCTGATGGAAGTGGCATTCGGGAGAAATAATTCAAGATATCAAAAAAACCATTGGCAGTGGTTTCTTCTGGGTGATAGGGTTGGTCTGATCCTTCTAAATTATTATTATTATTACTATCATTAGTTGAATCTGTTGTTGTTGTTGCTGCTATTGGATCATCACTTTTAAATTCGAAATCATCATTATCATCAAATATAGATCGTAGAGAAGTTTGTTGATTACTGTTGGTTGTTGTTGTTGTTGTTGTTGTTGTTGTTGTTGTTGTTGTTGTTGTTGTTGTTGTTGTTGTTGTTGTGTTGTTGTTGTAGATTTTTTAAACTTTGTTTGCTTTTCTTCTTCTTCTCTTTCTTCTTCTCATTCTTCTTGTTTTTCTTTTTACTATCGCGATGATCATACTTCTCCTTTTCTATCTTTAATATCTCTATTAAAGTATCTATATTATAATTGTCATTTATCTCTGATTTAAAAACTTCTACTATTATATCCTTTACTATAACTAAAAGTTGATTTACTTTACTATTATCTTCTTGTTTTAAATCGCCTAAAGATTTAATTATATCTGTTGCTAAAATGTCTTTTCGATTTTCTTTTCTTCTGCTATTGCCGTGATACTGACATGTATTGCAAATATTTGAATCTCGATATCTGTCTACTACCGGTGTTGGCTTCGCCAATCCAAGTGCCTCGTGATTCTTGGAATTACAATTGAAAAAACTCACTTTTGTTGTTGTTGTTGTTGGAGTAGTTGCAGTTGTGGTTGTTGATGAGGTTGGTGCTGCTGGTATAAAGAACGATAATCTCTTTTGAATTTTATCCAAATTCTGATCTCCATATTTTGAGATATTCTTAAAGATTGATCGAACCCAAATAACCAAATGGCTTTCCGAGTTGGTAAATTTGATATCTCTTGGAGCAGACGTGTTTACCAACAATGGCTCTTCTTGTTTGCCTAATACATCCAAGAGTTGTTTACCATCTTTTACAACTATTTATTAAAAAAAAATAATTAAAAAAGTTAATTTTAATCATTAATAGAAATGATTATAAATATATTTAAACATACCTTGTAATAAATTAGAATGTTCGATATGTTGGTTCAGAGAATTAACAAGCTGTGCAAATTCCACTTGATGACCTATTTCCTCAATGTTTTTTTGAAATTTAAAAAAAACACTGCCCAATCCAATTGAAAAAAATTTCCAGCTGTTGGTGAATACACCTTTCTCCATTTGTTGAAGCTTTTCAAAATCATATCCATTAAAAAATGAGTATAGTTTGCTGAGGTTGAGAGTTGAATAATCTAAATTGTTATTTATAATTCTCATAATATTCTCAGTTGGATCTGTATTTTCTAACTTATTGTCTGCCAACAATTTATTAATTTCTTTATTTGGTAAGATTGATGCCTAAAAAATAATTGTAAAAAAAAAACAATATTAATTATATTTCTATTATTGATAAATAATAAAAAAATAAACTTACAATGTTGTATTTAATAAGAAATCGAAGGGTCTCTTTACGATCTATCTCTGGATCTGGAAGGAGCTCTTTAATTGCTGCATTGTATAATTTCATTATATCTCTAATATGATTTGAAAGTTGAACTGAGAGGTGATTTACTATATTGGTTGTGAGTTGTTTTGCAACTTGAGTAGTATCATAATTGCTGTTTTGATCGACTGGTAATAATTGGAAAACTTTACTCTCCCTGTATTCCTTAATAAACACCTTAAGTTGTTTCCTGGATATAAAATTATTATTAGTTTGATTTTAAAACAAAATTTATTTTTAAAACTTTAATGATACTCACTTTGTATTTTCTAGAGATATTTTTTTATATACTTCCAATACAGATATTTCTCCCTTTCCCAATATTTTATTTATTCCTTTTGTTTCATCTCTATCTTTTTTATTACATAATCTATTTACAATATATTGTAAAGTTTGATAATTGATTGTTATTGAATCTGATTGATTATAGATATCTTTAGAGTTTATATTATTAAGATTCTTTTCTATATAAATAGATATATTATTAAAATTACTATTATTTAAATTATTAATATTTTTTAAATAAAAACTATGAATAATATTATGAAGATGGAAAAGAAGATTGGTTGCGTCTTGTGATTCTTGTTTTGATTTACTTGAAAAAGTTTCATTATTGATAAAATCCTCTAGTTTTAAATCACTAATAGTTTTATATGTTGACATATTTGATAAAATAAATAAAAAAATATATAAATAGAAAATAAATAGAAAATAAATAAAAATATAAATATAAATAAATAATAATAAATAAAAATTATAAATAAATAACTTTGAACTAATAAAACTATATATAAACAAATAAAATAAATAATAAATAATAATATAAAGAAAAGATAAAGAATAAAAAAGAATAGATATAATATTAAAAAAAAAGAAATAGTAACTATTAAATAAATTTGAAGATTGTATTTGTTGTTTTATTTTGAAGGTTTGTAAAGTAAAAAAATTAAAATGAAAAAATTTGGTTTTGTCAAAACAAAAAAGAATAGTTTAGTTGTAATGAGTCAAATTCTCTCCATATTAAAAAAGAGGTTGAAAACTTAATTCCAAAAGTTTTTTACCAAGAATCGAGGATAAAGAAAAAAAAAGATTCTTTTTCTAATATCCAAGTTAGTTTGGATCATTTGAAAATAACTTTTTTTTTTATTTATTTTTTGGGATTGGTTTTTTTTTTTTTTGCATTCAAAACAAAAGAAAACAGACATCTTAATTCATTCTTTTAAAATATAGTTATAATTTAATTATTATTTGAATATTTATCACCAAGATATACGAGATGTAGTAAATTAGTAAATAAAGGTTAATTACTGGACAATGACCGATTAGCATGCGTTTCAATAACAGAAACAATTACAAAGTTTGAGTTCAATAACAGAATTAGTTCTATTGCTCAACTAAAAAGTAAAATAAACATATAAACAAGCACATGTAATCATAGATTGGCTAAAAAGGATAGTGGATGTAATATTTATAAAGGTATAGATTTATTTTATTTTTTCACTTTTAAACAACTTTAATTAACTGACTGGTTAAACCATCATCATCATTCAGAGAATTCTATAGGAGAAGAGCAGCTGAGAAACGTGAACCTTTTAATTATTGTCAAGATATGGTGAAAACCAATGGTTTTATTTTAGCTAACTAATAATGCTTAGAGCAATTCAACATTGTTTCGAATGTCAAAGAAAATATATCGAGGAAATATAATGTTCATCAATTCGTGAACATTATGACCCCTCGTAACCTCTTTGGTATTATTCTACAAACAGGTAGACTGTTGGTCATGTGGTTATACATGGATCAAAAGAGAGTTATTTAAAAAACAAAACACAATATATGTATTTAAAATTAAATAATAAAGAAAAAATAAAACAATCTATAGATTTAATCATTAATAGAAATATTGTTAAAGAGGTGCATCAAACTAATACTTATTATCATGTGGCTATGCTTTTTTGTGTTTTGCTTTTTTTTTAAAAAAAAAAAAAAAAAATTTAAAGTTAGTGATTCTTCTTAATTATTTATATTTGATTTTTGATTCGTTATTTTAATTAAGTTTTATTTTAAAATGGCAAGCAGATTAACTACACAAAATAAGAGTAATAATAGTCGATCATTGGCTCCCTCTTTCAATAATTATACACAAGGAGTGTTGAATTCAATAAAATCAGTTAGTGATTCAAACACTAAACCAGTCAAGAGTAATCGTTATAAGGACTATAGTGAATTATCAGAGAGGTCTGGTAATAAAAGTAAAGTTTTAAATTTAATAACAACCTCAGTAAATGTAATAGCATCACCAAAAAAACATAACGAAGTAACGATTGATCAACAGACACATTTAATGAAAGATTGGTTAACAAAGAATACCACTGGAAAGCAGGTACACTATTGACTACTATACATATCATAAACTGTTGTTTTGAATGATTATTGTTAATATTTTAACTATAAATATATTCAGGTTCTTGAAGAATTAAAGAAAGATGGTAGTATAGCTGCATCAGAAGAATTCAGAAAGGGATATAAGGAGATATATGAAGAGATACCTGGAGCAACCACACATGCTGTTGCGTTGTCATATGTTATTTCATCACTTCAGAGTGGCCAATATACAGATAGAGATGGATATGAAAAAACAAGGTAAGTGTTTTGTAATGCTCGCGATTTTGTATATCATTGATACTAATATTCCCAATCTAGATTGTTATCAAGTTTAGTTCCTTTTTACACTTCTAAGGAAATCAGAGAGTTTGGAATCACAATAGATAATAATGCGTGGAATCGTGCAATTCAACACGTACATAAGTATGGTGCAGGTAGACTGATTAATGCAGAAGAGATCAGCAATTGGAGATCTAAATTTACACACAATGGACAAATGACAAGAAGACAAAGAACCACGATGCTAAGGACAGCCGTCGAAGGTTACTTCAATATGAAAGATATAACTGAAGAATCAAGTAAAAACATGAGGTTGTACAGCAAAGAACTCGACGCAGATGGTAAACGAGCATTCGAGTTGGTGCCAATCAAGAACCTTGCTTTAGGAAACATAAATACCTGCTTTTCAGATTACCTCAAGAAGAGTAAAGTTGATCAAGTCAAGTATCCACTCATGGGTAGAAGTGCATTTTACAGTTTCGTACCAGAGTATGTCAGAGAAATGAAGAATCGAACCGACATGTGTCCAATGTGTGTTCAGTATCAGGCTCTCGAGTCAAAACGAATTAAGTTTGGGCAACTTTCAGATCAAGATCATAAACTGTTTGAAATCTTGACTATTCACAAGATGTTTGTTCAGCAAAGAAAGAATGATTATTTGACATGTGTAATTATAATTTTATTAATACATTTAGCTAATGATTTATTAAATGAAAATTTTTTTTTATTTTTTTATTTTTAGAAAAACGAGTTAAAGGCAGGAGAGTGTATTATTCTCTGTGATTTTAAAGAGAATATATCATTAGGTAAATCCAAAGTGCAAGTAAGCCATGAATTTTACCAACAACCTGCTCGTACCTTCTTTGGAATGGTCCTCTTCTATAAGCAAGGTGACAAGCTGAAGATTCACTACTATGACTGTCTTTCACAAGTACTTAATCACTGTTCGACATTTGCAATTTCATGTCTCGACAAATTAATCAATGATCCATTATTCACCAGTCTAAATATCAACAAAATTACATTTTGGTGTGATAATGCTAGACACTTCAAGTCAAATGAAATACTTTCATATATGCATACATTGTCAAAGTTGCAAGTAGCTGATCCAAACACTCCAAACAAAACCAAAAGAAGTATCTCGTCGAATTGAATACTTTTGCACCCTATCACGGAAAGAGTGAATGCGATCAACATTTTTCAATGGTTTCTAGAGCGATAGCAGACAAGTCGAGTTTCAAAGATTCAATCTATACAGATCAAGATGTTATCAATGCAATCAAGAGTACCACTGACAACAACAACTATCAAAGAACATACAAATTGACCTCTGAATCAGAGAAGGAAGCTGTTACCATCAAAGTAACAGTCGAAATTCATAACCCAAAGGAATTGAAACAGAAAGAAATAAAGATCTTTCCTGGTTTTACAGAGTATCATCGTTTCCAGTTTTTAGATAATAGATCAGTAAGTTAATCAATTATATAATTTGAATTCAAAACAATTATTAATCAATATTTTTTTACAAAAAAAAGATGCGTGCCAATAAACATTACATTAAATTCATGGGTGGAAATGAAGTTGACAAAATGACTATCTACAAATATTCTGCTATGAAAAGTCAAGTTGGTAAAGAGACTACAATTTCCAAAGGCTACGAATCGACCACCAAGGAGGAGGCACAGTCTTGGAAACCAGCTCGAGATAAGGCACATACCACCTATCTAAACACCATGATAGAAATGAATGAGATTGCCAAGAATGTAGACGAATCAAATAAGGAAAAGGCAAAAGAGATGAGCGATATTATAAATACTTATGCCAATGTAACATCTAAATTAGCTCCACAACCCACACCTTCAAGAACACAACAAATTGTTTCGTCACCTCAGTCACCATCTCAACCAACACTTTCAAATTCACAAGCTGCTTCTACTTCATCTCAATCTTCACCAAAACCAGCTACCACAACTACACCAGACCAAACACTCTCTGGTACAAACAAAAGAAGAAGAGGCTACAGAGGAACAAAGAAAACAAAACAGACTAATTCACAAAATAATACACAGAATAATACACAAGATAATATACAAAATAGTACACAAAATAATAAACAAATTAATACACAGAATAATACACAGAATAATACACATAATACACATAATAATACACATAATAATACACAAAATACCCAAAGTAAACCATTGTTTGATATCGAATCGATTGATTTTGGTGACGATGATCATGATATCGGATCGAGCTTGATTTATAGTGGTAAAAGAAAAGAAAGAGAGGATGATTGTGACAATAATAGTCAACATAAAAAAATAAATAACCAAATAAATAACCAAATAAATAACAATAACAATAATAATAATAACAATTCAACAAAAAAAAGAATAAGAGAAGAAGATAATAATCAAGAATCAATGGACAATCAAAAACATCACAAATCAACTCATGTAAATAGTCAAACACCAATCCAATCCCCATCCCAAACACCAATTCAAACACCATCCCAAACACCAATCCAAACACCAATTCCAACACAATCCCAAACACCAATCCAAACTCCATCTCAATCACCAATCCAAACTCCAACCCAAACACCACTCCATACTCCTATTCAACACAACACTACAGTGCAATCAACGGAACAATCAAAACCAGCAAAAGAAATTGTCGTAATCTTTGAAATCGATAACAATTACAACTCGCAGATTCAAGATTATAGACAACAACAACAAATCAACTATTTACAACAACTTTCACAAACACTGCAACAACAATCTCCACCACAGTCAGAAGCAGCAGCATCAAACGATGTAGAAATGACATCACATGAAGATCCTATCATGGAACAAGTTGAGGAAACTGACGATGCAATGGAGATCGATCGATTCTGTATTCCATATGAAAAGATCAAGGACCAGTTGAATACCGCAGAAGAAGACGAAAACATGAACAATGCCGGTGACTTCTTATCCAATTGGCCATCTCTACGAGAACTTATTATAAGAATTCCATGCCTCACAGCCATAGCGGACTATGGACAGCTCTTCTCCACTCTACTCATTAAGAACCCATTATCAAACCTGGTAATAAGACCAATTCAAAATATGATTGGAAATGTTTTAAAATCATTTTTATAATTCAAATTTTATTATTATCTTTTTGGTATGTGGAGATGTTTAGGCATAAAAGATAGTGTAAGTAAATAATTGTTTTATTTTAATGAATACAGATTACTAATTTTTATTTCTTTGACATATCTTTAGTGGATCATAATTATTCAATAATTTTTGATTGCTTGTTTTGAAATAGTATATGCAGTAGTGTGTAAAGAATCTTGCAATCAATTCGCCTATTTTTTTCATTTGTTGTTATGGGTTTGATGAAGCTATGTATATGTTCGGATGGGAGTCTGGTCTAGTACATTTCAAATCAAATTTATTTCAACATTGAATAAGGTGATTTTGGTTATTATCAAAAACACAATTCAACATGTGAGCACTTTGCTATATTATTTTAGAATAACGCTTTCAACCTGATTCATTATCTGGAGTGTTTGAATGTTGAAGCATATTGATTTGGTAGTAGTAAATTTTGTTTTATATTATGTTTTAGTTCATTGTAAGTATAAGTTCCTTATATAGCAGCTGAGCAGTTGTGAATGTACTTAACTAATTCATTCTATTATACAAAGGTCAATTCATACAAAGAATGTGATCTTTCTAGATTTTATTTGTATTTTTAATCAAGAGAATAGTCCAATAAAGGTATACGCATATAATTTTATTAATATAAATTTTATTTACTTCTTTATTATATTTCGTATGTCATTAATTTTATGTTCAACATATCAGATAATTTTGTATGCCTACGACAAATTATTCTGGTATTACCGAATGTAAAAGATGAAGACTCCCATCTGGCTGTCACTCAATAATGTCTAGTATACATTATTCAATTAATGTTTTACTAACTTATTTGATACAGACCAATCCGGCATTATAGGGTAGGCACACTATAAAACTATATATTTTAAAATGCACCACTTTAGAATATATAAAGGGCCAACTAGTCAATATTTCTAACTAAGGTGGTCAAGTTATTATATCGACTCAGCTACAATCTTTAAAAATAAAATGTATGTAATTGAAAATCAATTTGGATAAACATTCTTACTTATTAACTTTTTTGTTTTAAATAGAAAAATATTGTTGAGTAACAACAATAAAGGTGCATCGAACGAGCCACCCGGTTATCATGTAGATTTTCTCCATTTTGATATGATAGTCGTGAATAATAATAGAATGGATTACCAGGAGCACACTCAGTGCAGGGTGGGTAAATAATCAAGTATATTCAAGATAACTAATTCAAATTTATTTTTTTTTCTCCAAAAAAGTATAGGTTAGTTTTGCCTTTAATTTGTTTATATGGTATGTATCATTCTATAAATAAATAGATATAGGTAATACAATATAAGTACTGTATTAGTCCAGTGCACATTGTGCTCAACGCTTTACATATTTATATTCTTACACTATATTTCTATTTATTTGCACTGCAGTGAATTAGCACCTAATTCACTTTCATTCTTCCTTTCATCCATTCTTTCTTTCTTTCTTTCTTTCTTTCAATCTTTCATCCACCCATTCTTCTTTCTTCCTTTCATACATTTATTTATTCATCCAGTAATTTATTTATTTCTCTATATATCAATATATGTATTATATTTATTTATTTATATTTATCTTTATATCTATCTTAATATTTATATTTATTTTCAGTGTTATATTTATTTATATTTTTTATATTTATTTAAATATTATATTTATTTATATTTATATATTTATATATTTATATATTTATATATTTATATTCATATATATTATATTTATTCATTTATTCATTTATTAACTCACTTTCTTGTCAATCTACTATAATACAAAGTTGCTTTTTCGTATCGCTAACATTATACAAT